GGGGAGGGGGTTTGAAAAAAAGAGAGGGGGGAGTGGGAGGGATGAGAACGGGAGAGGGGCGAGGCGTAGACAGGTAGTATTTAATTCATCCCCCAGCCCCGGTTGGCTCAGACAGGCAATGTGTTCGCAACCTGTCTTCAAACATTACTTGAAGTCGGTTCACTGAGGCGCCAAGTACTTTTTTAAAAGTTATTATTATGAAAGTTGGTGGGGGCTTTGGTGTGGTACACGCCTTCCTTGTCTTTTAAATTCTTTTATTTTATTAGTATCACTGTCTTTATATGTGCCTGGTTCAACCTTGCCTCTATCGTTCAAGAAAAGTTTTGCCTTGGGATAAAGGAATTTTATATTTTATTGTTTGTAATAAACAGTTAAACCTACTCTTACCGCGACCCTTAAAAGCTCCCATTTCCAGTTTCCTTCCTGATGGGTTTTTTTTTTTTGGGGGGGGGGTTGTTGTTGTTGTTATTGTTGTTGTTGTTATTGTTGTTGTTTTGTTTTGTTTTTTTTTGGGGGGGAGTATAGGGTATTTTGTTCTTGTGGGGTTATTTTTTAAAATTATAATGACACAGTGTAAGATGTCCTCTATATAAGACAACCATTTATCTCCTCGACAATGAGCGGCCGTCTCAGACAGTTTGGATTGTAGATATATTTATACAGATCTTTTTCTTTTATCAATTTGTTTTTGGGACATTTCTTTATCAAAATGAGATTACTTAATAGTTAGGGGGAAGTCACTCTGTGGGCGTCTTCTTTCTGCGTTCAACTCATTTCAGTTCGTTTTAATGTTTGCATGTCTGTTGCTGTTATTATTTTTGGTTTACTTTGAGGCTATTGTTGTTGCTTTGGATGTCATGTTTGTTTGCATGTTTTTGATGTCGATATTATTGTCTTTCTGACTGACATCATCGTCACTGTGGACTGTGGACTGTCTTTGTCGTTGTTATCATCGTTGTTGTCCTTGTCGTTGTTATAATCCTTGTTGTCATCATCATCGTCGTTATTGTTGTTGTCGTTATTGTCGTGTTCATTGCTTTTGTCGTCATCGTTTGTTGTTGTTATTGCTTTTTTTTTTTGGTAAGTGTTTTACGGCGCTCGCAACTGCATAATGTCATATTATGAGCTCGCGGGACACACCTAATACATTTTAGTTGGTAGGAAATTCTGAATTTTTTCCGGGTGGCGGCCGAAGCCTACTCTTATCGATTTTAGACCACCAAGGGATCTTTAACGTGCGCAACTTGCACACGGGCCC